GAGCTAGAGCACTACTAGTTGCTGGAAGAGCTGAATGAATATGGCGACTCATATAACCCCTACCATGACGACCTACAGCTGGGGTACAGGTACCAGAATAATGGCCCGACTCTCGAGACCTCTTGGCCTCCCTCTCTTCTCTCTCCCTAGCATGCATACCCTCAATCTTCCTCGCAATTCTCACCACCTACCGATAAGAAATATCCATCTCCAACTCACGAGACATGCTAGATCTGATGCTGGGAATAAGCCCCTCAATAAACTGGCGAACTCTCTCGCGGACAGTAGAAACCAAGGCTGGTGCATGCCTAGCCAAACTGGTATAATAGACAACATACTCTGAAATGGTCATAGCACCCTGGCGCAAATGCTCAAACTCTACACGCCATGCATCCTTGAGGCTCTGAGGAACATATTCCCTCAAGAACAGATCTGAAAATTGAGCCCAAGTCAGTGAAGTAGACTCATCTAGACTGTCTAACTCATAGGTGCGCCACCACTCATAGGCGGCTCCTTGAAGCTGGAAGGTCATGAAAGAAACCCCGCTCGATCCTGAGATACCCATGGTACGAAGAATGCGGTAACACTCATCACGAAATCCCAGAGCATCCTCCGATGCTGGACCACTAAATACAGGAGGCTTGTACTTCTTGAACCTCTCAAGCCTCAGCTGCTCATCCTCGGAAGCCGCTGCCCTAACCTCGGGGACCTGCTCATCATGCACTCGCTGCTCAGGAGTGCGGGCGGCGGGAGTCTATGCTCCTCCCCCGACCTAGGATATGGCTGCAGCAAGGGGAAACAACCCTGCTTGAGCCAAAGTAGTGTACATGCTCATGAACTGCGCCAGAGTCTCCTGAAGAGCTGGAGTAGTAGTAACAGTAGTAGGCGTGTCAGGTTCTTGGACTCTGGCTGGAACTGCTGGTGGTAGCTTGGCAGCAGCTCGCGCAGGTGCTCTGGCTACACCACGTGCGCGTCCTCGGGCTCTACCTGGGCCTCTGACGGCTGCAGTAGGAGGCGCGGGTGCCTGATCATATCGAGTAGCATTTGTCCTCACCATCTGTGAGAGAATAGAAGAAAGAAGTTTAGAATTGTGATGTCAAAATATCGCATGAAAAGAAAATCAAATGAAGTGGAAATTTTCCTAACAGTTACATAACCTCTCGTAGATAAGTACAGACGTCTCCGAACCGATCAGCGAGACTCTAATAAACCGGCTTGTGATCCGTGACTCCTATGAACCTAGAGCTATGATACCAACTTGTCACGACCCCGGTTTGCCCTCCGTGAACCATCGTGATAGCACCTAGTCTCTACGACTAGGTAAGCCTAAATTGCGGGAGATAACCAAACTTGCAGAAATAAAACGATCTAAAAATAGGAATAAAGCAATAATAGTGTTAAATGTGCCACTCAGCATACATCACATATGTATATAAGTCTCAAAACCAACATCTAAATCCAAGACTCGGAACCCCACGAATCACAAGCTGAGATAAATACTACACAGCTCTAACTCCAGAATGTCTAATAAAAATTGAAAGATACAGAAGGGCTAAATACTAAGGCAGGAATAGAAAGGGACTCCTTGGTCTGCGGACGCGGCAGATGTACCTCGGAGTCTCTAAGCAGTCACCTCCCTCAAGGATGATAGACTTGATCAGCAGTACCTGGATCTGCATATTAAAAAAATACGCAGAAGAGGCATGAGTACACCACAACGGTACTCAATAAGTGCCAAGCCTAACCTCGGTTGAGTAGTGACGAGGAAGGTCAGCGCACTACTGAGGTTAAATAAATAATCAAGTGACAAGATAAAATAAGCAGTGAAATTGAGAATCAATGGTAGGAATCTATACATCATAATAAGAGTGCAATAACGGAAAACAGAAATAAGGCAAAACACAAAGGAAATACCACTCACACCAAGGATAATAACCGGGGATCTCTTTGGTATCCCGAGGATCTCTTGATATCCTCAATATATACACTAGGGATCTCTTGGTATCCCGACGATCTCTTGGTATCCTCAATATATACCAGCGATCTCTTAGTATCCCGAGAATCTCTTAGTATCCTCAATATATGCCAGAGATCTCTTAATATCCCGAGGATCTTTCGGTATCCTCAATATACGTGCCAAGGAACTCTTGGTATCCCGCACCTCAGTCCATATCATAATTTTTTTGTGCAGGGGATCTCCCAAGATGCCGTCCCGTAGTCCCAAATTAAAAGTACACAACCGCAACACAAGAATAATAAATTAAATGCCAACTTCGTACAAGTAAATAGTAAATTCTAGCCTAACATGCTTCACGTAATGCAATTAGGGCAGTTTAAGCAAATAAGCAAATAAGTCAACTAAACATGCTTTTCTAACAACGGACTAAGTTTGCAAGTAGAATAAAACAGGAAGGTAAGGATCTCAGTTTAAAATACTTAAAGTAAAATCGGGTTTTCAATAATTAGCTCAAGTACGTGCTCGTCACCTCACGTACAAAGCATTTCAATTATCAAATATCATATCCTAAGGGAAAGGTCCCCCCCACAAGGTTAGACAAGTCACTTATCTCGAACAAGTGCAAGTCAACCCGAAACCACGCCTTTGCCACGAGTATCCGACTCCAAATGGCCCAAATCTCCAAGTGATTCAAGTTTGTTTTCCTCAAAACTCTCTCTCAAAAGCTTCAAACCCGGATGAAAATGGTAAAAGAACCCTTCAAATTCGCGAAGGCAACTATTTACATGTTCTGCCCAGCGATTTCCGTATTTGCGGCCTTGAGACCGCATCTGCGGTCCCGCTCCTGCGGAACAAGTGTCGCATCTGTGACTTTCACTTAAGGACCCAACTTTCGCATCTGCGGAACTCTAAACGCAAGAGCGGTTCCGCTTCTGCGGACATTTCACTACATCTGCGGTTCTTGAGGAAATCCCAAAAATTTGCTTCTGCGGTCCTCTATGCCACTTTTGTGGTTCCGCATCTGCGGTCCCCCAACCGCAGGTGTGAAAATACCAGAAGAACAGCTGCTGCAGCAACCACAACTCCAAAATTTTCCTCCGTCAACCATCCGAATTTATCTCGAGGCCCCCGGGACCTCAACCAAAAGCACAAACATTATCTAATACCTTATTCAAACTTGTACTATTCTTCAAAACACTTCAAACAACATCAAAATAACCAAAACACATCGGATTCAAGCCTAAGTTTCTAAAAATCTTCCGAATTCCGCTTTTGATCGAAAACCCAACCAAAATACGTCTAAATGACCTGAAATTTTTGCACACACATCCCAAATGATATAACAGAACTACTGTAACTCTCGGGATTCCATTATGAACGTCGTATCAAAATCTCACTTTCGAACCGAAACTTCAAAAATTCAACCTTCGGCATTTCAAGTCTAAATTAGCTACGGGCCTCTAAAACACAATCCAACATGCTCCTAACCCCGAAATCACCCAACGAAGCTAACAGAACCATTGGATTTCCATTCCGAGGCCGTATTTACACTGTTCCGACTACGGTCAACTTTCCAAGACTTAAGCTCTCATTTAGGGACTAAGTGTCCCAAATCTCTCTGAAACTCAAAACCGAACACCCCAACAATTCAAATTAGCATAAATAAACTTGGGGAAAGTAGTTAATAGGGGATCGGGACGTAAATTCTTAAGACGACCGGCCAAGTCGTCACATTCCCAAAGACTGGTAGTACAAATCATAAGCTTCTAAGATTAGAATTTACAAAGTTGGTATAAAATAAATACATCATCTGTTCGAAATATACATAATAAAATTTTATGAATCTAAGGCTACCATAAACAAGAGGCATCTACAATCAGAATGTAGGTACGTCTTCAATTCTAGCTCTCATCGATGACATCAACATCAGCAGCCAACATCTGCACGCAAGGTGCAGAAGTGTAGTATAAGTACAACCATCCTCATGTACTCAATAAGTAAAAAACCTAACCTAAGGTTGAAAGTAGTGAAAAGCTGTAACATAGGTCGGAGTCCAATACCAATAGTCAACAACATTTCATAACAACATAATGAAAGTAATAAAAGAAGTAACTCAGAGATAAAATGCTCGACTCGTTCACAGTTCCAAAAAATAGGTCTGCTTTTCAAGTATATCAGTGAAAACTCAAATATTTTACCGAAATCACCAAAAATATGAGTAAGTTTGAAAACTGTAATTTTTCCCAAAGCTTTCAACAGGTAAATATTTCATTTTCAAATAGCATGAGGAAAATAGAACTCTATGCTTATATATCAATGTGTGAGAAGTCATGAATGTCGTGATACCATACAACATGAGGAAAATGCATGTCTATGCCTATATTCCAAGTGTGCATGTCAAATATAATGTATCTTAGAGATGAACTCATGTACTCACACTCTCAGAGTACTCAATCTTAGTGTCTCACACTTTCCATTAATCATGCTTAACAACTCAACATGCTCAGTCACTCAGTACTGTATATGGCAATCCAGCCAAGGGAAGATCCATCCTCAGTATATACATAGCAACTGAGAGTCAGTCACTCAGTACTGTATAAGGCCAATGCAACCCGGGGAATATCCATCCCCAAATATAAATGCTTCGGGCAAGATCCATTCCCAAGGAAGATCCCACTACCAGAAAATGGGCCTATGGGAATAGTTGTTTTGGAAACGGTTTGTACCGTTGCCATAGATCAGATATAGTAACGGTTGAAACCGTTACAATAGAATTTGGGTGCTATCAGCACATTATTGACATCAAACCGTTGCAAATGTAACAAAACCATTGCCATAGAGTTTTGTTTCGCAACGGATTTGTGAACCGTCCCAATAGACATGTATATGGCAACAGTTTTGGGGAAAAAATTGCTATGGGAACGGTTATTCATTCCCTCTCATTTTTTCCGCTAAAAATTTAATAGCCCGCCAAGCTAATTAATTAAGTGACCTGTATTTTATTTTTTTTAACTAATTTAATACAAAAACCCCTCCGCCCATGGATATACCCAAAACTACTCCCCAGTACTATATCCAAACTCCCATCGTCGAACACCCAAATTCCCCTCGTCGATACACCAAAAATCCCCTCTCTAATCTCTTTTCTTTTTGCATCTTTGTCGAATGTAAGATTAATGGCTGAGTTTCATCAAATACCTCTTCATTAGACCTCCATAATCATCAAACCCTAGAGTTCCCAAGACCAAAATCGTGAGGACAATCGGGGTCTTTCCGGAAAATCTGAAAGACACTTCCGTCGATTTTTCGGCACTTCTTCAAGGACAGTTGCTTCTCCGGCACTCCTTCCCCAAATCCCCAAATTCTAAAATCAAATTTGTGCTCGAATTAGAGAAGCCCAAATCACCATAGCCTGGTAATTTTCTTAATTCTTTTGGTCATTTTTACTATTTTTATTACCAATTCTATACGTTTTACTGTGTTTTTTTTAGTTTTTGGCAAAAGGATTCTTAATTCATGTTGTAGCCTTTTGGGTTTTGTGTTTAAAAGTGATTTTTGGTGCCGATTAGGTGATCGTATTTGTGTTTTGATCCATTTTTATTATGCAACCATGGAACTCCAAATGGCATCTCCTTTGATAGTTGAAATTTTTGATTTTGGATGTGTTCTTTTTGGAATCACATTGTAGCTATAGCTTCTCCACAAAACTTAATAGTTCAAACACATTATTTGTGATAAATTTATATTTTTGAAGGGAATAGCAACGTGAAAATCTCATGTTTCCCACGCTTTCTAACTTGCAGTAGTGTTATATGTAACCCTTGCACTATTTCATTTGAAATATTGCAGAAACTTAGATTCTTTGTAACCTCGAAATGTATCCAACTTATTGTGTCTACATCATGGTGTACTAGAATATGGGTATCCTTTTATTTGGTTGCTGAGTATAACACTGTAGTAGTCTGTTGTAAACCAAACATCTACTTCTCATCAAATTTGTAAATATTCAGATTGAATTTGTTCCACATTGTATAGAGTAATCACCCTTAGTTTATGAAAATACCTTTCAATTCTTTGTTAAAAGTTAAAACCAAACAGATGGATATACAGTGGATTTGCAAAAGAAAATTGTTAAAGTAGATGAATCAAATATCTCGCTCATTCTATTCAATTCTAGAGAACAAGATGTGTACCATCTCTGGTGACTGATAAATATTACTAGTCAAACAGTCAAAAACCAATGACGACTCGTAAGCTCTTAGTTGGGATTTTTCTTCCAACAAGAGCTGAGTCTAGGAAATTCACCTCTAGGAGCTTTAAAAGTAACTGGTTTTTCTTGTGTAATCTTCTCTGAAACAAAAAGTGTGGTAAAAAAGTGTTTTCCTTGACTGCAATTTTCTGAAGATATACATATTCTAACTGCTTACTTGACATCCACAAGGAACTTAATGGTTTTTATTGTTTAAACATGACTCTACACATTCTTTGAAAAGTATAATAACTTAATCACATCTTTCATATTCATATTGTAAGAGATGATTTTTAAGAAGTTAACTTTTAAAGGTCTTAAATTGCTTTAGTGTTTGTGACTTTCTGAGTTTCACCCTTAAAAGCAGTGGTCAATGTCAAATTAATATGCTTTTGGTTTTTTGGTTAGTTTTGTTGATTTACTTTTATCGTATAGGATATCTATGGATAATGGTGATAAAAGTTACATGAATCTCCTGAGATGGACGGATGAGTATATCCGTGGAGTGAATGATTTTCTTGATAAGGCATTTGAACGAGCCGCCCAAGGAAATGAAATATTATGCACCTTGCAAAAAGTGCATGAATCGCTATTGGTATTATAGAAATGTGGTGGAGGATCATTTGGTTGTTCATGGATTTGTTTATGGTTATACCAAATGGGTTTTCCACGGGGAAGGCTTTTCCTCGAGAAATACACCTCATCCAAGCAATGATGATGAAGGTTCTACTATGCGGGACGATATTGATGGACTACTTCATGATACATTTAGAAATATAGAGGGTCAGGCAGGGGATGAAGAAGGAGTTGGGGAAAGACTATCTGAAGATGCAAAGAAGTTTTTGAAATTGCTGGAGGAAGGAAAACAAAAGTTATATTCGGGGTGTGAAAATTTCAGTAAACTGAGTTTCACTATTCGATTGTACTTGCTTAAATCCTTGTATGGGTTGAGTAATGTGGCTTTCTCCGATTTGTTAGAGTTGATAAAAGAGGCATTTCCCTTTTAGTAGTGCTACATTTTGAGGTAGATAAAAGAGTTGATAAAAGAGGATTTGGGATCTCCAATGTCCTCTTCTAGTTTAGCTGTGCTACATTTTGAGGTATAATATCAAATTTGTGATCCATCCATGCTACATTATTGATTCTATTTTTTAGTCTTGGGATTTGCATTCTTGCTCTTTTATGGCTGATTTATCTAGTTACCTACATAAATTTGTGATCCAACCATGCTGGCATCAGTACTATTGATGTACTTACTTTGAGTTATTATTGAAGTGGCCTTCAATCATTGAATTGTTTGCAAAATGCTTAGTGTTCTACATTGGTAGAAGGCCTTTCAGAAAAGTTTTTGTCATCTCCCGTTCCAAAGATATTGTTGTTAGCTGGGACAGACAGACTTGACAGGTTGTGTACTTCTCACTGTATCGAAGGTCATGTGGAATTCTATAATTGCATATGCTTGTTAGCATGCATGCGAAGCTTCAACATTATGTGATTATGTATGAGACATAGTTCTGTATATTCCTTTTCTGATCTGTGGTTATGTAAGAGATGGTTCTTCTGTGTATTTCTTTTCTGAACTTACTTCTCAGTGAGTCATGTTAGAACAATTGATGTGCACGGCTTTCCTAACAATTGATGTGCATGGCTTTCCTAAACAACATAGTACTTGCAGATTCACTTGTAATGGTGTTTTATGTAAGCAAGAAGCTTTTGAACAGTGAGTCTGTTTTTCCGCTAAATGCATATGGGCAGGTATCATGTACCTTAGATATATTGTAGAAGGTTCTAGGTAGAAAATATTTTCCTGATGCTGCTTCAGGTCTAGATTTTTCATGTTGCAACATAATTGCTTTTGTACTTTAAATTGCAGACTTAGGAAGTGACAGAAACAACGAAAGATGGATTAAACCTGAAAAAGTCATTAATACTAAGGCCCAACAGAAGCAACTATTCCTAGTATACAATTTAAATGCCTAGCAAATATGTTCATTGTTGTGTTAGTCTTCCTAGCAATTCTATCAACTAATTTTGAACATGTATCTTTGAAGTTTGTATCTGTTACTTTATATGGACTGTTGCTTTATATATCACATTCATATGCAGTCCTGATTATGTTTGTTTTTATTATAAATTCCTAAATTTCTTCTTGTATATTGGCATGCATCGTTTGGAAATGCCTAAAGTTTATCTGATAACACTTTTCTCAATGTTTCAACCATTGAAGCCTTTGTTGTTTGTGATAGACATCTTCAGTCCACATGTTGTTGTTCTGAAAAAGACTCCAGCTTTCCTGTTGATGCCCTCCGCTGCTGCTACAGAGAATACCCAACAGCTCCTTCCTGTTGAAACTTGTGCAAGTAAGTAATTTCTTCAGCTCTTGTTTTTCCTTTTCTGTTGTTTGTAATTTCTTTCTATCAGTTTGTCAGCTTCTTGTTTATCTTTTTCTGTTGTATTTTCATTGAATAGACTATAGAATAATCATTGTTTGACTTCTAAAGGGGCAAATTATCATAAAGGGGCAGTAGTTTGTGACCAAATCTATTTACCTATTTTTTTGTTGTTGGTTTTGCTAACCTATATTGTGTTTGCTTTTCAGAATCTGAACAATATTTGAATAGTCATGAATCATGAAGGGTGCTCAAGCAAAAATAAGAAAAACTCCAACCGCATTCCAGCGGGATCACTTGCATCTTTGCGAAATCAAAGGGTTTCGTCGTTGACAACAAAAAGAACCTTTCAAGCTACAAGGTCAAATGAAAATGAGGAACGCCAATCATAAGCTGGATTACCTCCATCTTTGCGAAACCAAAAGCTTTCATTGTTGACAACAAAAAGAGTCTTGAATATAAGGTCAAATGCAAATGAAGAACGACAATCAGAATTAGGATCTCAATTGCAAGAACAAGTGCAACAAATGACACGGAATTCCACCTCTTCAGCAGCACAAAGAGTACATGAACAAGTGCAACAAGCGAATATGGATTCCATTACTCCTGCATCACAGGGAGTACATGGACGATCTGATGGTTCTACCAATCATGAAGAAATTGAACAAATTGAGGAATAAGGCAAATATATATATAAATTTTAATCATAAAATTAACTAAAATTAGTGATTAATGATTATCTTTGCTTTGTACTATTGCAGGCCCCTCCTCGCCAAAAAGAAAAAGAGGTCGTACTCAAATGCCAAGTGTTCATGGTAGAAAGGATCGTAAAATAATCACTCTAAATGAGTATAATCAACCCGTTGGTCCTACTAAAGAAGTTGTACAAGAGTTGGATAGCTTCCTCGGCACATTGGCAAGGAGTGAGACTTTTTGTCCTCTTAATGTATTTAATTGGAGGAAACTAGACACAAAAGATGATATGTGGAAATATATCAAGGTATGAAGTTCCCAATATCCAATAAACATGGATGATATTTCTTATTTCTTACACTAACCCAATTTCACTAAATTTGTAGGAAAAATATGACATTCCTGGCGAGGCGAAACAATGGATTTTTGAATCAGTTTGTAGTGCTTGGAGAAAGTATGAGAGTCAATTGAAGACAAACCACTTCAAAGCCTATGAGAATGAAGAATTTCGAATGGAGAATAGGCCAGTAGATGTTCGAATGGGACCTGAACATCCAGTTCGTGTGAGATTGTACGGAAGAGGGGTTACCAAGACTTTGTTAAAAGGGCAAAAAGGGATTCTTGGATCTTCTTTAGATGCTGATGAGAGGATGCAGCAGAAAATAGAGGAAATAGAAGAGAGGATGCAACAAAGAATGCATGAAAAGTTGAACGAACAAAAGGATGCTATGGAACAAAATATTACAATGAACGTCATCGCACGATTTCAACGTCTGAACCCAGATTTGCGACTTGATCCTGATATGTTAAGGTTCAGTGCACGTTCACTTGTAGATGCTTCCTCTGCACAACAAACTACTATTCAACTAAACAGTCGACCATATGCTGGTAGTAACACTCAAGGTCACTACGTACCAAATGTTATACATCTTCTTCTATTTCTTCTTCTCCTCCTTCCTTGCTTGGGATTTTGCTTTGGTTCAAGGAAGAGTGGATATGATAATATCCTTTTTCTATTTAGTAGGAGTATATTATTTCTTAAGTGCCAAGTGGTCTCGTATATATAGTAATAATACCCGAGTAATACTGACAGTTCTATGATAGTAGAACTTTGAGAATTTAAATTGGAATAGACAGATAGGTTGATGCTTAAGACAAAGTTATGGAATGACTTCTCTGTAGCAATGCTGAAAGACAAAGTTCCCATGAACTCCTAGGTCTTTGATCTTCCTGATGAGATGTGCTACCTGTCATGCTATTGTTGTTGTTCCATTATCATTTTATATTGTGTTCGATTTTAACTTCTGAAAAAATTATAGTAGTATGTAAGAGCTTAGCTTATTGTGTGTATATATATATGTTGAGTGTCATGTTTGCAAGGAATGGAGAAACATAATAATTGAGGAGTGATGAAGCATGTGTTGCCATAGGAGGAACGACCACCCTTATTTTGTCTCCTAATNACTTTACTTATCCTCTTTTGTAGGTGGAGTAGATCAAGAAATGGATGATGAAGACGATAAAGAACTAGACCTTACTTGAAATGAATTTTGTATTGTTATAGATGAATGTTCTAGGAATCTTTTGTTACCAACATTTTTGAAACTTATTTACTCTCTTGAAATGTACTAAACTTATGCACTCATGGGGTAGAACATTTGCTTTATGGATATTATTTGCTTGATGGATAATTTTGTATTATTAATAGTTTTATTTTATGATGTATTTAAATTTTAGTGTTATTATAATTTATTATATGTATAAATATTTATTTATAACATGTGCTATATTTTGGTTTTAACTGAACTGATACAATAGCCTACCAGAACTGTTGCAATAGGACATACATGGCGTTCCAGTAGACAATGTAAACCGTTGCAATAGGTCCCATAAACTGTTCCAAATACAAATATAACTGTTACGATAGCCTAAAGAAACCGTGGCTATATCCAACATAACCGTAGCAATAGCTTACATAAGTGTTGCTTTAAATAATACGGTACCAGTTAAAAACCGTTGTATAAACAATACAGTAACGGTTTTGAACAGTTCCAATTGAAAAAAATAATTGTTCCAATAGAGAAAGGGAAAACCGTTGCGATAGACGTATCTATTGTCATGGCGATGCAAACCGTTGCAAGAACCGTTCCAGCAGGCCTATGGGTACGCCGGCTGATGTGACAGTCTTTAAACCGTTCCAATATCCCTATGGCAACGGTTTGGCAGTCTGTGGGTACGGTTTTTCAACCGTTGCTGTAGACCAATTTTTCAGTAGTGAGTCTAATCTTAGCTTTATTTAGCATAATTTAGCATCGTAGTGTTATACAATTAGAAGTAANCTCACTGGGGGGGGGGGTGTACAAACTCTGGATGGGCTCCTTCAGCCCAAATGCCATAATAAGCCAGGTCTAGACATAAATTAATATAACATGTTGCGATATACAGCCTGATCCCATAATATCACTCACACTCAGGCCCCCGTCCTCATTCAGTCATCAATCTCTGCAGTCTCTCGGGCTCATAATGTCATGAAACTAGCCAAAAAATGATTATATGATGTATTAAAAAATAGTAGCAGAGACTAAGATATGATATGAAATGAATGAACATGATTGAATATGAAATTGCAATTCAAATAAATAACTCAACAACAATATGACCTCAGTGGGTCCCAACAAAATAAGGATGTAGTCTAGACATGGTTTCTAACATGGATCACAACTCAATAGCTCTAGTACATAGAGATTTCATGGTTACAGATAAGATCAAGTAACTACACAGTACCACATAAATAACAGAGTCACAATTCAAACGGTGCATGCCCATCACCTAGCATCTGCGTCACCTCAACACCAAATACATAACACGTAATTTGGGATCTCATACCCTCAACACCAAATTTAGAAGTGTTACTTACCTCGAACAAGCCAAATCTATTACCCAGTAAGCCAAACGATGCTCAAAAAATGCCATCCTGCGCATACCGACTTCCGAACGGCTCGAAACTAGCCCAAAGCAACTTAAATACATCAAATAATGCCAAAGAAAACAAACTCAATCGATAAAGGACGAATCTTTAATCAAAATAACAAAATTGAATAAAACGTCAAACCCATGCTTGCACCTCGAAACCTGACAAAACTTAGAAAATCTGACAAGTCATATAATTACGAGTCCAATCATACTAGTTTCACTCAAATCCGACTTCGAATCGATGTTCAAAACTCAAAAATTCACTTTATAAATTTTTAGACAAAACCCCAAATTTCACTTTGAAATCATCAATCAAATGCCAAAAACGAAGATAGATTCATGAAATATAACCAAAATCGAGTATAGAACATTTACCTCAATCCCTATGGTGAAAATCGTCTCAAACAATTATCCAAATTCGGGCTCCCCAACTCAAAATATGACCAAATGAACGAATATTCGATATTAAGTATTTTTGCCCAACTGTTCTGCCTCGTTTTATGTGTCAAATGATTCCAAAACTTGCTTTTGATGCCTCCAATGGATTCTTTGTGAAATTTCATTGAATTTAGACTTTTGAATCACTCCATTTGACCTTATAATAAAGGAGATATGTTGGTTTCAATATGTGAAAACAATGCAGATTTTTAAATACGAAGTTAGTGACAATTTCGTAATTAATCTGAAAAATCTGCAACCGAATTCTTTGTAAAATGATCATAAAATTATATAACTGTATAGCGGGTTGGGTTGACCTATTTTCAGGCCGACCCAAATCGGTTGTAACCCGGACGGGCCCGGACCGGTAGTTAGGGGGCCGAGTAGGCTGGGTTAGGGGGTTAGCGGGGTTGGTCCGTATAAAAAAAATCGTTTAGCTGAACTGGTCAAACCCGGTCAATGAATAATACTATTGAACCGGTTAACCGGCCTGGCCCTGCCCGGACCGGTTCAACGGCTATTTTTTGATCTTTTTAATGTCATATGACCGTTGCCAACAGTCACCTTCAAATTTGGTCATTACCCAACGGGTTGATTGCAAGAATAGCCCTTTTTTGGGTTTTGTTTAAAAAATAACACTTTTAGTAATTACTAATTTAGACCTTTAAAAACTTTAAATACACCCCCTTCTTCATTTCTTCACTCATCTCTCATTTCTCAAACTCAAATTTTCAATTATTATTCTCTCATTCTTCACCTAAATTGTAATCAACTATTTGGCTCTCATTTTTTTTGAAATTTAATTTATCGTATTATTTATTATTTGAAGTTTGAATTTCAAACTTTGAACAATTGATGTTTCTTTGTGGTAACATTGGAGTTGCAAAAATCATCAAGTGTTCAATTTATTGCGGAATTCGGTGCATTCCCTCTAACTCTTTCTCTTATTTACTATTTTATTTGGATATTTAATTTTTGCTAGTAGTTAAATTTTTACAATATGTTTAATGCTGCAAAAAGAGTTTGTAATAAGGATTCTAATCGGGGTAATTGGGAAAATAGAAAAAGAGGTACTAGTTCAACATCTAGTAGTAATTTAAATGATTTTACACATGTTTTTGAAACATCACCTGATAATAATATAGATTATGAACAATTACATGAAGATTTCAATATAGAAGATAATGAATTAGAAGATGAAGATGAGACAACACTTACACCTAGTAGTGTTGGAGTTGGTAGTAGGGATGGTAGTCGTGGTGGTAGTAGTAGACTACCTGTGGCCCCGAATACTAATCGGAGAAAAAGAAGCAAGGTTTGGAAATTTTTTGACGAAATAGAAAATACTAATAGATTTAGATGCAAGCTTTGTAAAGATGATTTTAAACATAAGATGGAGGACAATTAGGGAGGACTGGAACACTTAGTAGACATATGAGAATTACTCATCCTATAGAATGGGGCTTTGATTTAGATAAAAATCAAGGAACTCTAAACCCTAGTACTGGAGGACTTATGAAATACGATAAAATAAAGGATCGTGAGGAGTTAGCAAAAATGATTGCTTTGAGTTGTCTACCTTTTTCTTTTACTTCTTCATCATATCTTATTATGTATATTCAAAGGATTTATAATCCTTTATTAAAGGTATCCCTAGAAGTACTTGTAGATCTGATATCTTTAGACTTCATGGACAATATCAGACATGCGTACGTTATTTGTTTGATGTGACGACCAGAAGGGTCATCACCGTAGTTCTTCCTTGTTCCGTGCTTTTGAGGCCTTGAAAACCTCGCCTTTAGTTGCCTCGATTGGCGTGCACAGTTCGGGCGCGTAGCTGCAAAGTTTTGATGTTAGAATATGTGAATTATGTGAAACATTTGATGAATTTTGGTATTAATATGCATAATGTTGACTTCGGTCAACATTTTGGGTAAACGGACCCGGACCGGTGATTCGACGGTCCCGGAGGGTCCATAGAAAATATGGGACTTGGGCGTGTGCCCGGAATCAAATTCTGAGGTCCCAAGCCCGAGAAATGAATTTTTGAAAGAAATT